CCATGATCATTCTGAGGAAAACTTCAAGATAATACAAAAGTAAAATCTAAGGACATTCTGAGGATCAGAAGCTGGAGCATATTTTCATGTGAGTTTTCGGAAAATTCATAGGATTACAATTAAATATGAGTATAGTTCCTATCGAACCTCAAATTAATTCGGGTGAAAATTCCAAGAGAATTAAATAAAAAAAAATATAGGGAAAATGGCTCTAATGTTGGCCTATGGATTTAAGATTGGGCCCATCGCACAGTGGTTGAAAAGTCCATTTTGACGCTCTTAATTAATAGCTCCATGGAGAGCGGATTTAGAGTAAGGACGTCTTCAGCAAAGTTGATGAGTATGACATGCTTCATATTTTGAAGGCATGGGTTTTGTGATTAATCCCACTAAAAGTGAAATGAAAAATTTATTTTTTCACAATGTTGAGATAAATGGTTGACGTCTTCAGCAAAGTTGTAGCAAAAATGGTTACAAACAACTTTGTTGAAGACATAAAAGTCCTAAATTTCACTCAAATCGAGATAGAGAGCGTTGTTTGAGGACGGACCCCCAAAAACACGTTTTTCATCAAAACACATATTTTCTTTCATTATGTTCAACAAAGTTGATTGATATACTAAAATACACATCTTTCTAGAACATACTATACCTGCATCATTTTAATAGGATGAGTTATTGATAAATTTTCTTCTATTTTCCTCATATTTTGGACTTGCGTATCTTTCTTAGGTGCAAGAAGGTGCAGATGAAATTAAATGCATCTAAAACTACATTAAAAGAGCTTTCAAATGGTGGTAAACTTGTCCGTCCACGACCGTCTGCTGGGGAGTTGTGATCAAAACAAACACCCGTTGATAGGGTTTATAGAAGTCATGTCAACAACAATGGGATACTGTGTTTTATACCGCGTAATAAATTCGTTTCCATAGTAACCGGTACAATAAACAAATTTCCCACTTCTTAGATCTTATCAAATTGAAGAACGGCACATTTTCTTTTCAAAAGTTTCCCAGAAGGCAAAACTGAACATCAATAACGAGAAAAAACTGTCAAATTCAGTTAAACTTGTGACTCGATAAGTGTCATCAGTCTTCACTGTTTTTCATCAAGCGTGAAGCAATTCTAGATAAACATTTCAAAAGCTCCTATCTGCATTGATCGATTCTCTTCATCGACTTTCTCTTCCGTTAATAACTCAGCTGCAAAACCTTTCCCTATTGTATTTGACGTTTTGGATGCTAGATAAGAATCTCCTTTATCAAACTATGTTGTAAAATTAGCGCGAAATCTGTTTGCATAGCAGTGGTTATCAAAAAAGAAAGTCGATGAAGATAATCGATCAAAACAGATAGGACCATTTGAAATGTTCATCGAGAATTGTGAAAGTATATGAAACAATGTAAGATAGAAGAACTGCGGAAGCCAAGCGAAGGAGAGAGAGAGAGAATAATTTTGCCAAAGAAACCGGACAGCAGAGGAAGCTACGAGAGCAGGGCTTTGAAGTAAAATGGCATTATCTGGTAGGGCTGAATTTCTTTTAAATTTTTCAATTCATGGTTTATAAGTACTCCAGTGTTATGCCATAAATGTGAATATTATGCCGGATGTGGAAACCCGTGAAAATGATGTGCGACTTTTTTGATAAGCTCTGGACCAAACATGCTCGTGCATGGTTGTCAAGTGTCACGCCGAGTATTTCAGTAAGCCTGAACGGCTTCCTGAAAACGGTTTAAACTTGCTTCCGTCTACTTCTGAAAATACAAAAAGTGAGGCAGGACGGAAGGTTGTTCCTTTCGAAGAATGTTGTGAAACAACGTAGAGGAAGAAAACTGCAGAGGTTCGGAATAGCTACCATCTTAATGAGCTAGCATTTGTGACACAAATGAATATGAGAGAATCAGGTGAGAAAGAGGTGGCGGATATCCTGAAAAACGTTTCTCACGCAAGTCCTGCAGATAAAAATAAGTTGGTTCATTCTTTGAAGAAGTCCTTGAGCAACCTTATACCCAAATACACAGATCTACAAGCTTTGGCTTTGATAATCAACACCAACCTATCGAACCTGGTATTACTTGCCAGCTAGTATTCATAAAGTATTGATACATGGATCAGCCGTGCTTCAACATTTCCTTGTTCTAATCGGTCAGCTTTCTGAGCAAGCACAGGAGCCAAGGAACAAGGATTGGAAAAGATACATGTATTTAACCAAAATAACAACGAATAAATCAATAAAACTTTTATTTAACAGATACCAAGAGTTCAATACCCGCAAGCACTCAAGATCGCTTACAAATCGTGATCTATTGAACTGGCTCCTAGAGTTATCAGAACCATTGATTACTAGCATTCGTGGATGGCTTAAAAAGCACGAGAAGCCATTGTCGAGCGATGCTAAACAGCTGCTAGCAAAAGAAGCTGAAGGAAACGATAACGATAAGAACACAATCATTTGATTATATTAATGGTTATGGTTGTGATAATAATTATGATAATTGAATGCAATACAAAATATTGACAACAGAAATGCAAAACCAATCGAACAAAAAGAATTTAATCAAGCAAAATAAGTGGATATATTGAAATGTATTATCTTTTTTATACTGATTATATCATAAAACAGAGTAAAGATATGGATACTTGTTTTGATCACAACTCCCCAGCAGACGGTCGTGGACGGACAAGTTTACCACCATTTGAAAGCTCTTTTGATGTAGTTTTAGATGCATTTAATTTCATCTGCACTGTCTTGCACCTAAGAAAGATACGCAAGTCCAAAATATGAGGAAAATAGAAGAAAATTTATCAATAACTCATCCTATTAAAATGATGCAGGTATAGTATGTTCTAAAAAGATGTGTATTTTAGTATACCAATCAACTTTGTTGAATATAATGAAGACCTAAAATTAAAGAAAATATGTGTTTTGATGAAAAACGTGTTTTTGGGGGTCCGTCCTCAAACAACGCTCTTTATCTCGATTTGAGTGAAATTTAGGACATTTACTTTGCAACTTTGCTCAAGACGTCAACCATTTATCTCAATATTGTGAAAAAATAAATTTTTCATTTCACTTTTAGGGGGATTAATCACAAAACCCATGCCTTCAAAATATGAAACATGTCATACTCATCAACTTTGCTGAAGACGTCCTTACTCTAAATCCGCTCTCCATGGAGCTATTAATTAAGAGCGTCAAAATGGACTTTTCAACCACTGTGCATCGCTAAAAATCTGCTATTTATCAATCGTATCTAGATGAACGCGTCAATGGGACGGTACTAATGGATATTTTTGGTTGCTATTGAAAATTTAGTCGATTGCTGAATTTATGTATGGGCCCAAATTCGGGACACTTAGGCCGACATTACATACATTTCCCCATTCAATTAGAATTTTTAGAATAATTTCAACGGATTTTTTTAAGAATATCCTTAGAAAATTCTGAGCTAAATTTCAAGTGAATTTCGAGGAGTATTCCAAGGATATTCCGGTATTATTTTTTCAGATAATTCTAAGGAGAATCCCACTTGCATTTCGAATAATTTTTGGGATTTCCTAGCAGATCTGCTATTTATCAATTTTATTTGTAGATTCTTTTTCCTAATATCTTGTTGTTAGAGGTATCGCAAATTAATCAAAGACCATACCCCAATCTATTATTTTAAAATGTGTCAATTGCATTAAAGTCTTCAGTGTCTTGTACTAATACTCGACAGTCGAGTACACATTGTAGACGAAATACGCGTATCTGTCAAGCATAAGCAAATAAGGTGTGGAATTAAATGGAAATTACTAATCTTTCTCTCTCTCTTTATTTCTGAGAATGTTTAAGCCACATTTTGGTATGTTATTAAAATGATTTTGCGCACTTTATAGTCACTTTTTTAAATGATTTTAGCTACTAATTTTCTATTTTTATTGCATAACACTGCTATCAGCCCTGCAGCAACCGTGTGCGGTCAATCATGCTCATGCACATGTTTAACATTGCTATCCGCCCTGCGTAGGTGAAATGTAGTATTTGTTTATTTTTTCGCTATTTGGCCTGGAACTGCTCAAGTAGAAACAACTGAGCGCACCGCAGCAAAAAGAGGTGGTGACGAGGACCACCACCTTCTTGCTTGGTGAAGCCATTCCAAAGGCCTGAGGTCTTGCCAGCATAGGAACTACAGTCTGTCATCGGTTGGTTCGAATGGACGCCTTCCTTCCTTCCTCCCTTCTGTTCAACTCGTCATGTATTCAACTCACGACATCAACCCAAAGGTTGACGGAGAAAGAGCAATAACTCACCCAGCTCTATATAAATATGTTACACTATTAACGTGACCATGACTTTAACTCGCTCGCTTCAGCGTCGTCGTCGCCGTCGCCGGCCGTCTCGGTTTAGAGTTGAACCGTTGAACGATTTGATGGATGAGCGCCAACTGCTTTTAGCGAGTCGCGACTAGTTTACTTGACTTACGCGATCTGTCAATCTTCTCAGTCAAAGGTTACTTTTCTTAAACTGTTTTATGGGAAATAAATTAAGCTTTGATTGCTTACTTTGCATGGCTTGGTTTGGATACAGTCAACTTCAGTTAAGGTATTGATTTACTGAAAACCGATCCAGAAAACATGTTAGATTCAAACTTTAACGTAACGAAAAATAGTCAATCATGAACTCATACGAGAATGAACCCTTGCTTGACGCTATTACCATCTATGAGCATCTGATCGTGACAAAACAATTTCCCCTTCATGCTGCTAGGTACATTAATCATCGACGTTGGCCATTGTTTTCCGTACTTCGAGTCGCCATAAAAGTGTAGTAATAAAACAATATTTATATATTAACGCCAAAACTGACACAAGTGATGTCTTACTTTGGCAACGCGTGATCCATAGATTTTATTTTTAATATTAACTTTGTGTTTATTTCTTCCTTCTCTTTTTCATCTTCGCATCAACTGTAACAACAACAAAAACAACAACAATACCAACGCCACTCCGGGGGACAGGAAAGCACAAATCGCACACCCTTGCACGAGGCGGCATCGAATGGCGACGAGGCGGCGGTGGAAGCACTACTGGCTGCTGGAGCCGACCGGAATGCGAAGGAGTCACTGGTGAGTACACCCCTTGTCTGCGTCTCTGTCTGCCAGCGAAAGTATAAAGTGAACAGCTAGATTTTATTAAATGTATTAAATCTGTCAGCACCTCTCAGCAGACGTTGTTGAGGAAGTGGATTTTGGGTAAACGTGTTCCATTAGAGTGCATTAGTTGATACATATACTGCCACTCTTCGCAAGTCGGTCCCATTTGCGTTTTTTGGCAAAACTGAGTTTTTCAGTTTTCATAACTACAATCACCCATATTTTCACAATACTGTAATACATAAACAACATTGTTTTAGAAAAGTTTGAAAAACAGCCAAACAGGACGTTCTATCACATATGAAAAAAATTGTACAAAGCAAACTTAAAATGTGTTTCTCTCGGCTTGCTGTTTTATGCTATGGGACCGCCAAGAGTGATAGTATAAATGACACGCAAAACAAAAGTGATAGATGTTATTTAATATTCGCTATATTATATTGTTATTTACGTAATGGATCGTAACTATCAAACGATATATTACAGGGCCTATGAATAAATTTTCAATAAATTAGGTTATGTGTCATTAGGCCGAATGCCACTATGTCGAATGGGTCATTAGGCGGAAATTTTAATAGCTATTCGCTTTTCATCGTACGGCAGCTGAATTGCTAGTTATTGGTTTATGAAAAGAATAAGCACACACTTAAAAATAACCAATTTTACACGTGACGGGATCGGTCTTTGACATAAAAGATGAGACGTAAACAAACATGTCATGTAATATTAAGTGCTCCGAGACTGAAAAGTTCGTTGCTCGACGAAAAGTACGTTCGATTGAGCTATATTTCGCGTCTGTAATGACTCAAATTTATGTCAAAATTGACGCTCGTATATGTCACTCTCAGAGCACCTAAATTTACATAATTTTTTAAGTGTGCAGCAGAAGTTGAAATTATGTCGATGCATAGTTTATTCACAGACCCTTAGCTCAGTCGGTAAAGGCACAGCTACAAAGCAAGACCATGCTGGAGGTGGCTGCGTTCGATTCCCGGCCCAGTCTAGGATTTTTTTTTCGGGTTAGAAAATTTCTCCACTTCTTTGGGCATATAGTATGATTGTACTTGCCACACAATTATGCTAATGTAAAAATGGTACAGGCATCGAATGCTTTCAGTTAATAACGGTTGAAGTGCATGTAGAACAACTAAGTTCAGAGCACGCAATGAGCTAATATGCAATAAGCAATAAGCTTGAAATGCGAAGAATAAGAAGAAGAAGAAGAAGATTAGTTTTTTCAAGATATGATGATGATATGGAACTACCACTCACTTTAGCAAGACAACTGTCAGTAGACTGTGGTCTATCTACCGACAAATCGACATGAATGACCATAGAAATTACCACGAAATTTCTGCTCAAAGCACCCTACCGATATCGGTCTCTATGTTCGCGAAAAACGTTTATCTAAGCCATGAGCACGAGTGCAAAATGTATGGATTGGTTCGTGTCTGATCTATTCTGGACAATTTATTTTTATCGAGACGAAAAATGTCTATAGTTTTGACAAATGGTATCGCTTCACATTTGAATCGGCCGTTATAGATTTTCGAGCGAAAGTTAAGTTTAAGTTTCATGTCGGTTTGTCTGTGGTCTATCCTCGTGATCTATCGACTTGATTAATTTTAATAACCACTAATATTGTAATAATTTAATAACCTGCCATTGTACAGTGGGAAAACATCGACATAAAAGGAGCATTCATTATCTCTGACCAGCGCTGATTTAACCCTTGCAAATATAATCATTCTTATGGGAAAAAGTCTCAGAAATCCAGTGAAAATAATTTCGTCCTGTGCAGAATAGGGCAAGTTGGGGTTTTGTGAGCATTTTTTTCCAAATTTCTTAAAATTTGGTGGACCGTCCCGTACCCAGCATTCAATGTTTTATATAATGGAATGAAAGTTAAAAGAAATATAAAGGAAAGATCTTACCCGATATGTTGCAAAAGAATCCTTGACATCACGATGATTTCGAAGAGCTCCCTTAGATATGTCGCCGCTACTTCTTCAAACGGTGTTTGTTTCTTTCCTTCCTCACTCAGCAGCAGAAACCCCGACAAACACGAAACACACTCTAGCTGCTCCGACTAGAGGGATCTCAGCAGAAAAAAAGGACTGCGACCACTATCCATCAACAATCTCTCGCGGAACAACGGTTTCAAATCAAGTACAAGTCTAGAAGACGCATAGTTCATCCAAGAGTTCATCCAAAAGTCATTGCAAAAGAACCACGCATTTTTATTGATTTTAAACGTATCGCGTATCGAACATCTTGAAACTAGAAGAATTAAGAAGAAGAGATTTGCTATGAAAAAGGCTAAAAATTCTCGAAAAAATCCAAGACTTAGGGCTGTTCATAAACTACGTAGACACAGTTCGCTCTTAGCTATCGGCACAAGCAACTGTGTTTTTTTAGGTGCGAGTCACGCGGTAGTCTGTTTTTTGATAGCTACCCATTATTGCGGGGCTTGCTTATTGTTTCAAGTTCGTTCACTTTTGCCGTTACCCCGTTGGAAGCAAACAACTAGTGGAGATGTCGGTGGAAATAAAACTGATGATCATATTAAGCTTCCCACAAGGCTCGGCGAAACCATCAATGGAAGACATTGTGAATTTTGTGAAATCGCTGGGCGCGGATCCCACTCAGATGATCACTATATATCGCATAGCGGAGGGAAAATCTATGTTCATCAAGTTCAAATCCGAAGAATCGATGCTTCATTGTTTGCTGCACAACCATGAACAAATAATTGTTCGTTATGCCGATGGGATATGAGTCGAGTTACGCATGTCACGCGCTGGGGGCACCGTTCAATATGTGAGAGTGTATGACCTCTCACAAGAAGTCCCGGATCTAGCATTGGTGCTAGGCAGCGGCGTTTCCTTAACCTCAATCTACCAGTGCACCAACTCTCAAAACATAAACAATTATCAAAATATTGCTGGCAATGGATAGATATTAAGTAAACTAGAAGATTAAATGTATTTTTCAACCGATTCGTGTATGAATATGGCATTAAATCTGGTATTGAAAGTTTGTGCACAGGTAAAAAGTGAGGTTACGCGACGCCAATTCTCACTCAGCTCACTCAGCAGAATGCAATCGTAAAAGGCTTGGTATGCAAAACATAATAAATGAGGAATCATCCACACTACCACACTCATCGATTCAGCAGAAGTAGCAGTAACATTACGTTAATTTCTATGTACTATGCTTTTAAACATTGATCTTACATTGAAATTGATTTGCCTAATGGATTCTTCATCTTTGATTTAATTTGAAATTAAATGTTATGGTTTTTCAATTAGTTTAGATTACCCACCCATTTGGGTCGTGTTTTCATTCTCTTTAAAATTTGATATGCTACGTGAGTAGAAGAAAATATCTCAGTAATACAAAATTATGAACGTTATACCAGAAAACGATATGGATGAGCATGGCTCAAAATAATGTCAAAATTTGTAAATTCCATTTCAATATCAAACTAGGCAATTACCATTTCACATAAATTACAATATATTATGGATTTGATAAGGAAATTTCTGATCTTATTTTTTATATTTTACCTCTAATTTCATGCTGACCTACATCATTTTTTTAATATAAACATAAAATAATCTACCTAAAACAAGGTTGATCTGATCTCAGACAGGTGTCTCTGATCCTTTCCAGGATGAACACCCCGTTCTTCTAATGGCTGAATCCCATTGCGGTGGTGAACCTCGGATTTTTAAGTTTGTTAAGACTGTTTAGATCTTGTTCTGGATCCGTTGTAGTTTTTGGTGATGACATTTGGAACAACTCTACCAGGTTGGCATACCTTTTTCAATAACAGGTAGGGTTAGTTGTTTGTAGACAGCAAGCTTAATTTTCAGGGTTAAGGTGAACTTCCTGTTGATAAGCGGATACAGCGGTGTTAGTTTTGTCAATGTTCTCCCTGAAATGAAGCTTGCTGTCTAGTGTTAGTTCGAGGTGCACAACCTCTTTTGACCACTGAGCCGTTTAATCAGATCTTATTATTCACAGATGGCACAAGTCTAGGTGATTGGGAACGTGGAAAAATTATGACCTGGGTCTTCGCCGCGTTCATACGTATCTTGCAGTGTTAAACTACTCAGACAGGACATCCAAGTCTCTGTAGAAAAAAAAATTGTAACTTAGGGAACCCCCTTTTGGGGTTCCCGGAGATTAACCAGGCTTGGGCTGAAAATCTCCTTAATAAAAAAAAGAAAAAGTAAGAGGTTGTATCCTAGACTCGACCGTAGATTTGACGTAGGATTACGTGCTCGGTATAAATATTTGAGACTATGTTAGGGAAACCCCTTTTTGAAGGCAATCGGTGATAATTTTGATAACCATTGGATAACAGTTGGACATTTGTGTATTTTTCAATAGCGACCTATTGAAAACTAATAAAGTATTCAATTTAGCAGCTTTGAAGAAAAATTGCATCAGCTTAGTACTTAACGTCACCAGTAGCGGCGGGTGGTGACGATCCAGTCTCACCAGAGGAGTGGGCGCCTCGCATAAGAAAGGAGCCATGTCCTGGGCGCTTACAAAACAAAGATCCAAACTGCGGTTGTTCTGGTTAATAACATGGTTGAATTGAGAAAGAGTGGCTGAGCTGTAATTGTCCAGAAGGAGCGAAGCGTAAGAATGGATGACAGAGTGATTCATGTCAGGATAGAGGAAGCCGTTGCGAGTTTTTTTCCATGAAATCCCCGGGAGATTGAAGTCACCAAACACAATAACTTCATCGGTTGCTTTGGCGGTATCCAGAACAGAGAAAACCGATTGGCAATGGGTTTGGATGAGGTCACGCTCCCGTATACGGTCGGGAGGGAAGTAAACCGCACAGAGAAACAAGTTACGATCGCCCAGTTTAATCGACGTCCACACCTGCTCTAAGCATGTCCAAGCATTATTTTCTAGTAACCTCGCTCTAAACCTAGAATTTATAGCCACTAAAACACCTCCATCTTTAACTTTCCGACTGTTAGCAGCATTCCTATCGCAACGGAAAACTTCATAATCGTCGCCGAACACCTGACTAGAGAGCGTGCGTGAATCCAACCATGTCTCCGTGAGAATAATGATGTCGTAGCAATGATCCGAGGTAGCTACGCGAAAATCGTCGACATCACAGTTGATACCACCGACGTTCTGATAATACAGCAGCAAGTCTGAAGGAGCAGGTATAGTTTCAATACGTCCTAGAGTCTGAGCAACTTGCGAAGGATGCCTTGATGGTGCAGGCGAATATTGGCTGGAAGCAATGAGCGGATCAGGAGTCGTTGAATCGATAACAGAAGTTGGCTTGCCTATGCTGTCGAGTTGGAAGACCCCTGCACTACTCCCACACGCAGGGCCGGGACGACTGCTGAACGCTGGCTGGAATGGCTCGACTGTGGTGGGAGGTATAAGGGCTTCCATGAGGCCAACTTTGGTGCGTCCCACTGTCCGGTTGAATTGTGATGGGTGATGAGGTAGGGCTGTCGGATATTGGCTGCAAGCGATGGAATCATCGAGTACATTAAATTATCGTACTTGCCTTTGACGTTGAGTTGGAAGACCCCTGCACTACTCCCACACGCAGGGCCGGGACGACTGCTAAGTGCTGGCTGGAATGGCTCGACTGTGGTGGGAAGTACAAGGGCTTCCATGAGGCCAACTTCGGTGCGCCCCAGTGTACAGTTGCCTAACTGTGGCTGATAAGAAAAGCCAAATGGAATTTGCTGGACTGGCAAAGAGTTTGGATGAAGTTCGGTAGAGACAAGTGAAACATGTGTCAAAGAAGATGGAAATGACGAAACCGGCCATTCAGGAACAGGTTGGTTGACGAGCTCTGTGCAGCGATGGGATTTGTCACTTATTATGTCATGGCGTTGTCTTGGTGATCCAGGTAATTGGGTGACTCCATGCTGGGGGATAAATTGGCATTTGGCGTTCGAGAAGGGTTCCAAAAATTTGTAACATTCCTGTTGTCCTTGAACTTACGGAATATTATTCCCTTTGGCCACGTTGCAGTCGAAAGAGCCTTTGCTTTCAGCTCAGGACTCATACCGAGTTTGAACGAAATGAATGACAGACTGCTGACATTCTTACCATTGGCGACTAGTCTGAATGTCTCAACGTCATTTATTCCTAACCTCTGCATCGCCAGTTCACTTACTTGCTCCACTGTGACGTCACGAGAGATACGCGAAAGGTAGAGCCAAAACTTCTGCCTTGGAGGTGGTACAGCAAAAGTGCCGATAGATGGAGATATTGAGCTTGCAGTTCCACACATCAAATCCTGTTGACGGCGTTCAGCAGCTTCAGGTTTACGGAACAATCGTCGGCTTCGCAAAGACCCAGCGGCATTCGTATTACGAGTTGATGATTTTGGTATAAGTGCACTGGAATTGATCAAAGCGGTGAAGTTCAGACGAAGTTCACTTTTGAGTTCATTCATGATTTCCGACTTAATTCTTTGAACGATCTCATTATGATCGCCAAGGACATGTTCTTGCCCAGCCTCATAAGCGCCTCGAATGGAATTGCGGAAACGAATGTCATCCATTAATTTGGTACACGACCTGCACATCCAGAACAATTGCGATTTCAATTTCATCTCAGCGTTAACAGCTGAAGTGATATTGACGCATTTGAGGTGAAATTCCGCCATGCAGAAGCCGCTGCATGAAATGGAATCGTCAATAACATCAGTAGCACAGGAGTGGCAAGTAGAAGTCATTTTCAGGATTGAAGTAATTCGCAGGATTTGATGCGATTGCCAAAGCAGCGCTACTACACAGTTTAAAGTAATGCGCCTAGAGTAGTATGCAACAACAGAGCAGGTATGCTTGACGGCGAAAGTGCAATACAACGGTAGAATCCAGGAGATAGCAATGCGCCAAAATGTTTGCAACAGTTTCACCACGAGCTCAACAAAAGCTCGCAAGCTTCAAAATTTTGCTGGTAGATGGCGCTTTGGAAACAAAAAATCGCGTGGCGTTTGCTTAGGAAAGTGTTTGTAAACAATGTTCAAAAAGCTTCACTTTCACTTTAAAACAGCAACACACCGAAAGAAATTCACGGCTCTTTAATGCAGTAGCACATAAACTGACGATCGAACGATGAAGGTATAATTCGACAGTGAGCATGCATAAGGGCCTATACGCGATGATCGATTCTCTTCGTCGATTTTCTCTTTTGTTAATAACTCGCTAGATTTAACGTTTCTCGGTGCGTTTGCTGTTGCTTTTGATAGACAATACAACCTGTTACTACTCTGCATTGAACAAATTCTAGAAAATTGTTTCGCTTAGCTGTAGCAATGCAAAGAGAAAATCGATGAAGAGAATCGATCATTGCGTATTCGCCCTTATGCATGCTCACTGTCGAATTTATAACCGTAATAACAACATAAACAAGTGCAAGTAATTAACGACCAAACGCAGCGGTATACGTAGCTGACAGTGTTGCCGATTGTTCGTGAAATGTGATAGAGTTAGGGATTTAGGAATTATCTTAGACTCTTAACTAACTTTCATAGACCATTACAACACAATTATTTACAGGGCAAATAACATGCTAGGCTTTATCAAGCGCTTTTGCTATAACTTGCAGGACCCATACACAATTAAAACAACAATCAATACGAAACTAACGATTTTAAATTGGCTCACCACTTTAGTAGCCTATTGGTCCCAAGCAAACGATTAACGTACCCTATTCTAGTTGAAATTCTATTACTACACTATGTTTGTTTTGATTCGCTATGAAAGTTTGACAGATAATATCAGGGGTGTGTGGATTCATGCAGAACATGCAGGGGTGAGTGAAATAGCTTGGGACTGCTTGGGACCGTTGTTCTGGTACTGAGTGAGCCAAAAATAATAATGATTTTCTTCGGGACCCAGTGGTCTTAGAGTTACCTCTATGATTAAAACACTATATATTTCCTATGTGAGGTCAATACTGGAATATTGCAGCATTGTATGGTCTCCTTTTTCAATCACGCACGAAGAAAGATTAGAATCCGTACAAAAACAATTTCTATTATACGCTCTTCGTAAATTAGGTTGGACATCAATTCCTCTTCCATCATATGAAGCACGCTGCATGCTTATAAACATACAAACATTGAAAGAGCGTCGTGAATATGCAATGGTTTCATTTGTAAACGAAATCGTTTCGCAGCGCATTGACTCCACAGAACTTCTATCAAAATTAAATTTCCATGCACCTACTCGGCAACTCCGAAATCAAAATTTATTTGCCATGAAACATCATCGCACAAATTATGCAAAATATGGGCCATTAAACCGCATAATGGCCTCTTACAATCAATACTACGAAACCATTGACTTTACAATGTCTCGGCATAAACTAAACAATATTTTTACCAAGGTTGCAAAGACTCATTTCAGCTAAAACAATGTTTTTCTAAATTATGAAATAATTAGATGCCATGATCAAATTTTGAATTGGTAGGATACAAGAAGAGGTTGCAAAGAATGTGTTTGACATATTAAACCTGTTTATTTCACTTCATGAGAGTCACAATCAGCGATTTTTCACAAACTCACTCACTCACTCACTCACTCACTCAGCGATCAGCAAATCGCTGATTGTGACTCATAGAAAGCAAAATTTACAGGTTTTATGTTTCCAACGCATACTTTGTAACCTCTTCTTGTAAGTTACAAGTAAAACATGCCATCATACCATATTTTGGTTTTATTATTCCGAAAAACATTATTTTAGCTGAAATGAGTCTTTGCAACCTTGATTTTTACTCCATAATGCATTATAACTCATAAAAAATAGGAAAGCTGACACTGCTTAATTTTTATTGAAGACAAAATTATACTTTTAACCTTTTGTCCAAAGTTGACGAAATAAATAAATAAATTTAAGAAAACAAAACTGTATTCGAATATGTACTAGTCTACGTTGGTTGACGAAATAAATAAATAAAATAAACAATAAGCGATCACTATGATCGCTCTATCGCTGAAAGAAGCGTTGGATATAGGAAAGTTACTGTTGACCCCATTAATACTCCGAACACGATGCCTCCGGTAAAATATGTAAACGCAAATTGGCAATGTTTGAAAATCATTGCTCAGCAATTGATCGATAGATTTTACATCTATTGATACCGAATAAATCTTTAAAGTATGTAGCTGGAACAGGCGTCAATAGATTTTATATTCGTTAATAAATGACTTAGCTATGAATTTTCAAACATTGCCGTTACACATTTTACCGGAGCCATCGTGTTCGGATTGTTAAAGAATCTATTCTTGCGGCTATTCATTACAGATTCTGTACATCTTTTATACAAACCCCGGTTGGGTGTAATAACGAATATTTTGAGCCAGTGGCCAAAAAATACACCGTAATGTACATATGAAGGATAAAAAATAGGTAACATGGCATGATTCCAATCGCAATCCACTGTTCAGCTGTTGCTATTTGCATTCCTCTTGATATCGGATTAATCGATACTTATGGACAAATTATACTCCAACTTCATGTCCACGAGCACCTATAAATACTTCAAGCAGATGTTGTTGGGCAACTCGTTAATTGGCGCTAGCTTATTTTATTACTTCATTCACCCATGGCGATCCAGTAAGACACCGTATCGAACATGCTCCTGCTAAATTTGTTGCACGAAGAACCGGTGGTGGCCAATGAGCAGATCATAAAAAAAAAATGCAACAGCAAAATTTTATTGGCACTATAGTGTCACACAGGGGGCACAGTTCCACGGTAGCAATACGAGAAGACAGGCGCAATCCTGTGTATTGAAGCAATGCTCAAGAACTGAATTGAGTAATTAAATGGTCGTTAAATGAGCTTAACATTATCTATTTTTAAATATTTTTCTTACAGCATGGAAACTCCCCATTGCATGAGGCCGCCTGGAAGGGCTACAGCCGCAGCGTAAAAATCCTATGTTCCTTGCCCAAAGTCCATAAGCCGGGTGCCACCGGCGGCAACCATGCCAGCGGTGGCACCAAACTATCCATCGATCTAATTAAGGAGTCTAGCAAAATTAAGAATGTCATCCAGGATACGAAGGGAGCGCTGCACAGCGCACTGCTTGGGACGCGTAACTTTGGAGGCTTCTCGGCGCTGCATCTGGCGGCCCAGAACGGGCACAACCAAAGCTGTCGGGAGATTCTACTTGCCGGAGCCGATCCTGATGTGCAGAATAATGTGAGTATTGTAACCGTTCTACTCAATTACTTAGACCAATCAAATTTACCTCTGTTTTGGTTTTACTCCAGTACGGCGACACTCCTCTTCATACAGCGTGCCGCTATGGTCACGCCGGTGCCATCCGAATTCTCCTCTCAGCCAAGTGTGACTTCGAGCGGATCAACCTGAACGGCGACACGCCTCTACACATCGCCTGTGCCATGGGTAGGCGCAAACTGACCCGGATTCTGCTGGAAGCCGGCTGCAAGCAAGACACGAAAAATGCTCAAGTAAGTCTAGTAGTTCCAGTTTCTGAGTTCTTCCTTTGGGAACCTTTGGGTATCATACAAAGGAAGAACCGTTACCTTATGAGACTAAATCATCAATTTATCAATTTTGATTAAGCATCATTATTCAGTTTATCTTTCTCAGACTTGGCCATTTACGGTTGTAGTTGTTACGAAAGGCTTGCTATGTTTTCCGCACGAACAAATCGCCTGTCAAATCATGAATTTCTTGGGGAACTTCGACACTTGCTGTTTTCTGAAGGACTCTGAAACATCGAACTTGTCTTTCGCAGCCACATACTGATTTCCCGGAATTCGGTTTGAAGTCCGCTCTTACGTATGTTTGGTTTTGCCAAATTTTTCTGCTTTTCAGCTTACGTGTCCGCGTTCTAGCTCTCCTATTTTGTCGTTCATTGCGATTTGGTGCTTTCTGAACGTAATCCTGCTCGTTTGCGTTTGAAGGCAGTAACCGCTCGCTTGTGATCTTCAACGTAGTACGGAACAATTTTTCTTGCAATCACTTGCTTCCGAACGACAGTTAAACGTTCTCCGAAACGTTGTATGATACGAGAAACAGTAGATTGTTGGTTTGCCAACATCTTTCCGATGGCTCGTTGCGAAAGATGTGGGATGTTGAGGTTAGTGTGCAAAATTTTCCAGCGCACGGTTCCTTCGACTCCATTTTCAAAAGTACTACAGTACTTGTTCGCTAACTGGGCTAAAACCGCAACCCAGTTAGCGAATTCCACTCGCTAACTGGGGTGGCTTGTCAAACGTAAAAAAAACACTGAGGGAAGCTTCAATGGATTGTTTGATCGACGTTAATAAAAAATTCATGTGCATTGAATTGATACAGTGTAAAGTTTGTCATTGTTATTTTCACAGCAATCAATCTAGCTAGTTTAGAAAGGCTTAATGCTAATAACGCGTTTCAGTGTGAAATGAAAATAATTTCAAATTTATTTACATTATCACTTAATATTCCATTCGAATGCCCCTCACCAATTATGACAACTAAATGTCAAACTAAATGTGACGTCTATTTTTTCGTATATCTGATTTTTAACTGGGCTACAGCCGAGGGGGACGACTCTATCTTCGATGCAGGAAATATTGTGGTTTGCTATGGGTAGCTGCGCGTACGCTGAGTAGATAGAAAGAGGATTGATGACGATTCTGAAGCTTTCTTGCAAAAAGATGATGCGATGTAAGTAGATGCGAGAAATGAAAGAAGATGTTTAGAACGCCGTGGTCAGAAAAAAATAAAGTAGAGCCATTTTTGAGATATACAAAATTTTTGATTTTTTGAATTTTGGACAAAAGTACGATTACTAAAATGTCAATATCTTTGGAACTGGTGCACCAATTTTAAATCTTTTTTTATGAAAGTGAAGCTAAATAAATTTGCTAACAAAATCTAAATTCGACAAAAAATTTCATAACTTCGACAATTTCCAACCGATTTCATCCATTAAAGGCTCATTTTCTCCGGTTTTGAATGGACTTTAAGAATAAATTATGGAATGATTTTTTGAATCTTTTTATGTTGATTAAAACAAGATTTTTATGGAAAATTCGCAGGAAAAATAAAAAAAAATGCTGTAAATTTTTAAATTACTTCAAAATTAAATTTTTAATTAAGACATAATATTCTAGTGAACGATAGCCAACTTCATTTTCATAAAAAAAGATTTAAAATTGGTGCACTAGTTCCAAAGATATTGACATTTTAGTAATCGTACTTTTGTCCAAAATTCAAAAAATCAATATTTTTGTACATCTCAAAAATGGCTCTACTTTAATTTTTTCTGACCACGGCATTGAATTCAGCGTAGGATTTTGCAGTGGAAATGATCATCACCTTACCGAGTTCAAAAATGCTGTAAACTAGTGTTATCAGCTTTAATAGCATGCTGTGGCTGTCAGTTGCATCGAATTATTTTCCCATAAACGACAATAGAAATGTCACAATGAAACTGACACAGTGTAGGCAATACCAGGGCTAGTAGCGACCATGTTGAAGAAATAAGTCATCGAATAGTGACTTATAGTTGTTAAAAAGTGACTTAAAAGTGACCTAAGGGAAGAAAATAAGCTGTTCTGATGGCATACCAAATAAATGTTTGATGTTTTAGATTTATTCAATTATAATCTCATAAACACTTAAATGTGTACGATAGGAACCTTTAGAGCAAAAGATTCAATAGTGTATGACTAAACCTCAAAGTGTCTACTAACTGGGAAAACCTGAAAAACGGGAATTCTCAGGGAATTTCATTTCTCGTGAAAATACCTGGAAGTCTCATAAATCTCATCAGTACTCAGGAAATTTTATATTTTTTTACTAAGGATATTCCAAAGAAAATAATGCATTTTAAAATAAAAACCTTCAATATTCCTAGTTATTTTCATTCGACATTGAAAATCGAAGCATAAGTCCTCGTAATTTTATGGTGAATTCTTAGGGGGTGAAGGGGATGCTAAAAGATGATTACAGTTAAATCTGAGAATAACTCCAGGAGATCTTCATAGAAATTCGGAAAATAATTCCAGGACAGATTGTCAAACAAATTAAGGGGAGGAATATAAGGAATTTGTGAGGAGAATGAAAATGAATTCTTAGGAGGATTTCAATGTGAATTCCAAGGGAAGGAGTGAGATTAAAAAAGAAATCTAAATGAAACTGCCTTGAAGTTCTTTTGTAGTTTAAGAAACTAGCCTGATGCTCGCAATACTTCTCATCATTGTTTTTAAGTTCTCTAAACTTTTTCCACAATTTTCCTAAGGATCATGAATATTCTCTAAAATTTTAACAATTCACTGAATTTCTCGAAACTTTTTTAAAATTAATGTTATCTCGCTGCTCTGGAATATCTCTGCTCTGAAGATGATGATGATGATGATGATGATGATGGTCCCACCTCTTACCCCTACAAAGGTTTGAGCTGGACGTTTTATCTTTAAGATAATTTAATATGACATTTTAACCAGGTTGGCAAACAAAATCGAACTGGTTTCAGTTACAGATATAGATTCCCTCTAAAGTTTACAGTTGCTTCACAGCGATATAAATGTGGAAAAGCTCAGGCGTCCACCTCTTAGTTCGCCTTTTTGTCCACCTAAAATATTCATAAGTATTACAAGCAATCAAGAGTTAATGAACAATCAACAAAGCATCCTATTACACTAGTAACCCCGCAATCTGATGCTATCATAATTTTCAGCAATGTCAGGAATGCTCACGAACCCCCAACATTTGCCAGAAAACTTACTACTAACTCAAAGTATCTTCCAAATAAGCTTCAAAATTGCATTTTTTTTTTTTATCAAATGTTAAATTCAGTCCTCTATATCCGTAATACGCGCGCGAGGCTCAAACCTTTGTAGACTACTTTTTTTTTTAATTAATCTACTATAAAATCAAATATTAAAAATCCATCATCACCCTCGTGGCGAACAGAAATAGTTTTTGCAGTGCTACAATAATTATTAAAAAGTCGTTATGACAGCTATCCATATAAAATAATCCGTTAGAGATAACTTCGTCAAGATACATAATTTGTCAATTCATAAAAAAAATCACTGGATAACTGTTCAAAAGACAGTTTTAACGTGTGAAATGCAGTGTCTATTAAATTCTGTAAGTGTTGCTAAACGTTTTATATGTCTAGGCATCGAATTGAAAACATTTATTCCTTTATAATATAATGAATTTTGTGAAGCACAAGTCAAGAAATGTGGTGTTCTTATTTCAACCGCGTTTCTAGTATTATATCTATGAAAGTCACTTCCTCTTTCAATTCGATCACACAAATATCGAGGCAGCAAACCGTTAATTACTTTAAAAATGAACACCATAGTCAAATATACAATTCTTTGCTTCACCGACAACCATTTTAAAGCGTCAAGCATCAAAGTTGAGGAAGTGAATCTATTACATTTCAAAATCAAACGCATTATTTTATCCTGCAAGCGCTGTAATCTCGATATTTGTGTTGCATTGGCCAGAAATAAAATGGAAGGGCAAAAGTCAAGATGAGGAGAGATGATTGATTTGTATAGCTGTATTTTACTGGCAATAGTTAAATCGTTTTTCAGTCGACATAGAATTCCATACTTCTTGGCAATTTTCTTGATGACATTGTCAATGTGAGAGTTGAACTTAAGTTTGTCATCAATAATCACGCCAAGATATTTAATCTCCCGAACGCGATCAATAGTCTCATCATCAATTACAACAGAGACGTTCTCATTTACTCGATTCCGCGAAATTACCATAAATTTAATTTTACTTGTATTCAATTTTAACTGCTTATACTTCAACCATCTACTTAGAGAACGCAAATCTTCATTCAAGTGTAAAACGGCATCATCTAAATCCTTAGCTGCAATGAATAACACAGTATCATCTGCAAAAAGATTAATGTCGCAAAATCGTAAAACACGTCGCAAGTCATTAATATACATAATAAATAACAGGGGCCCTAATACACTTCCCTGGGGCACTCCGAGGTTATTCCCCACGGGACTGGAAACAGAATCATTAAAAACAGTCCGTTGAGTTCTGTCAGACAAATAGCTTTCAAACCATTTATATGCAGTACTCGTAATTCCAAAGCGCTTGATTGATCTTAACAATAAGGGCCTAGAAATTGTTTCAAAAGCGCGTTTAAGATCCAAAAAAACAGCAACAATCGTATCTTTACACTCCAAGTTGTTTTTCCACTTCGTTAATACCAAATTCAACGCGGTTTCACAAGAATGACCTTCCCGATATCCCGATTGTTCTGGTATCAACAAACTATTACTATTTAAATACTCCAACAGCTGACCTTTAACAACAAGTTCTAAAATTTTCTCTAATGTGTGCAACATGTTGATGGGACGAAACTCTTCGGCTTTAATCGTTCCAGCAACTTTTTGAATAGGGACCACTAAGGATTCCTTCCAAATTTGTGGCACATGTCCAGTTTGTAATGATTCATTAATAAGGTCCAGCAAGA